CCTTAAAAACTCCAGGTTCGCGGTTGTACTGCACTGGCTAAAATCTCATCTACAGCTAAGAAACAAGTCACCCGCTTAAGGCGTACTGGCATCAAGGCTGTTTAAACATTGAAAAGCAAGCATTTCTTTTTTTTTGTCCGGAGTTAGTTTTGTTTTAGCGCTCGATCCTGCTGTTTCGCCGGGGAGACGGCCCATTTGTCACGTGCCCATTCGTCAAAGGGCAACTTGAAACAGGCCCATTCGTTAGAGCGGAACACTCGTCATAGGGCGATTCGCCACCCAGACGACCTTTAACACAATAGTTACAAGAAAGACTTTTTGTCCGAACCCTTTGGAACGAACGGATTAGTTTACGACGTAGGGTAACATCATGATGAAATGTTATATGAAGGAGACACAAACGAGAGATCTTTCAGGAGGGAATTAGTAACGGCCGACCTAAAGTATTCTTCATGGTGGTAACACTGACAGTGAGATGATAGTTCGTCAATATAAAATGATCTGAGCGGTTTTGAATGGATTTAATCAGTCCAATTAGTCACGAGTGAGTGGGGTCTCACACAGCACCAGGATGTTCTAATTTTGGCTAGCTTTTCTTTTTTGTTTTGGGCACAAGTTCGCCCCATTAAACGTTTAGTTTCTTCACTTATTCGGCGCCTCATCATTAGTCATTCGTGACAGCATTCTGCTCCTTATAGTTACACGGCATAAAATAACCCTAGGATCCTTTTTTTTCGTTTATTTTTTTGCGTTTTTTTTTTGTTGTTGCGGAGTAATAAAACATTCTGATAAACCATATTTGTGCAACCATATAATTGTGTTTGTCACTGACGTCGATACAAATTACGCAATGAGGGACTATCTTCAAAAGTAAAAGAATTATATTTTTAAGTGTTTGTACTCTACTCAAGATACTTTAAACTGAAAGTAACTTGAGTAGTATCTTAAATACTTCATGAGTCAGGTATTTAGTAACTTAACTTAAATACTTGTATCGAGTATTTTGCACAACACCGCTCTTCCAGATCGAAACGGACAGGGGCGGGGTCGGTTCTGCACCGCGAGCTTTCGCTCCACGTGCTCCGAGCTGGTGTGCGCTATACTCCGTTTCACCTGATGTTGTTCTGCAGCTGGGGGATCGGTGGCCGAGTGGTCTAGCGCACACCAGCTCGGAGCACGTGAAGCGAAAGCTCGCGCTGCAGAACTCCGGGATCCTGGGTTCGAGCCCCACCCCTGCCCGTTTCGATCTGGATGAGCATCGTACCGGCGTGCGGTCGTGTATCACTACTGCGTGATGCACGTTAAAGACCCCAGGCTAGCGGTTGTACCGCACTGGCTAAATTTCTCATCTACAGCTGGGAGACTCGTCGCCCCTGTGAGGCAGACCAAGTTCTAGGCTGTATAAACACACACACAACCCAGTTTTTTTTTGTTCTGCAGCGAAGGCTAGAAGCGCGAGCTCATAGCGTTTGCAGCTGCCCTTGGTGCACGAGAGATTGTGCCGCCGAGGTGTGCCATAGAGAAAGGAGCTCGCGCTTGTAGCCTTTCCTGCTGTACAGCGCGAGGTGAAACAGAGTATAGACGCTTTCAGCACGCGCCAGATTGAGCCGCAATAGCCGACCTTTTCTTATCCTACCGAGATGCCAAGCCACTGAAGCGGGAGCTTGAGAGCCTCCATAAAGGCCTTTGCTGGGGAGAAGAACACAGTAACATCTAAAATTGCAATAACCTGTCCTGCGGTGGTTATTATGAAGTGCAGCAAACGGAATAAGAAAACAAAAACTGAAGGTCGGTGCCTGAAAGGGTCTATATATACCATAAACTCGGCCGCCGATCCCCCCCCCCCCTCCCTTTTTGTGCGTATAGTTTATCTACAGGTATAAGTATTTGAACATCGACGATGGAAGTAATGTAACGTAATAACATTATATAAATAATAAACATCTTGAAGCACTGAAAAACTAAATTTTTTAATTCTTGGCGCTAGCCTATATTACTAAATTTTTCAATTCTTGGCGGTAGCCTACTTTACTTACCGTTGACAAAGAGCGATATGAGGTGACGAGATAATTATTAAATGATGAGGCTCTATAAGGACGACGACATTAGTGGGTGTCGAACCACAACGTACAGTGCCAGACTTGTTTCAAGTATCGTGTATTCCAAAACTTTTCTTCACCCGCAACAGAAGATGGTAGAATCAATGAGGATGCTGCTTTACAACTGTGCGTGTAACAGGAACACTGAACTTTGCAGAAGTGTGGCTTATTCGTTAATATGAGAGACGGATTTCTAGCAGCATTCCCTGATATGCTACTTGGAAAATGGCCTCTTTGACGTAAAGTGTCCCCGTTCCAAATTATTATTGAAGCTTACTGAAACCGAAAATGAGTATGAGGCGAAAAATAAGAAGTTGCCTGTTGTGAAAGGTCCAAATTACCACCATAGCTTCTACTACCAAATACAAGGGCAGTTACACAATACACAATAAGATTTTTGTCATTTCATTATATTTACACTAAAGGTCATTGATATACAATGTATTCTGAGGGATGGCGCCTTCTGGTCAACCAATAGAGCCTTTTCTAGTCAAGTTTTACATGGAAGGCCCGACATCCGCTGAAATTCCTCACGTAGACGAATTGTCCGTGCGAATAAAATGCCATTATTCTCAATGTGGGAATCTCTCGATCTTCGTTCGTAGGCCATAGTATCATGAGATCGAGGGGTGTGGCTCTTCGTCCGCCGAACATTGCTTCGGCGGTTGTTTTTACCGTGTAAGATGAGGCCGTCGCGTGCTGCTGGAACAAGAACCTGGCGATTGTTCACTGAACTGCTTCTTCCCTAAGCTTCAAAAGGGCTTTCTTTGTTTCGCACGCCATCTGTTCTGCTTGCCCGTTAGTTGCAGGATATTATGGTGCACTAATGTTATGCCGGATGCCGGTTTTTCTCTCTTTTTTTTTCAAAAACTTGTTTATTTTATTTGAAGCAAGATTTGGCGCTTTACCAGAGAAAAGCATTTTCGGTAGGGTAAAAGTAGGGAAAAGAGAGCGTAGAGCGTTAGTGACTCGTTTGGACGTCGTGGCAGGTGTCGTGTAACCTTCAAACAACTTAGAGTACGCATCGATCAGGACTTCGCAGATGCGGATACGTTTCGCCACCCACCAACTGAATAGTGGATCGTTTTAAATTACTGTTCATGATGGCGCTGGATTCGAGGAAGACTTGGAGTCTTTCCACAAAGTTAGCCCAGGTGCCAGCACTTTTGTCGAAAGCGGTAAGTGTTCGAAACGTAGACAACGTCGGTAGCCACGTGCTGTGCATGACACTGGACGCCTACCATTCACTGTGAAGAAACTTGTTTGTTCGTCTGCGACGAGTCGTCCGATATTAGCTCATCACCGCAACTCGATCTCCCATCAAAACAGGTCTTCATTGCCAGCATATCCATAGTTAGCAATCACGTGAACTTATAAATTCCCGAACGCTCATAACTTGCCGTCGCTAAACACCGTTCATTCATAGCGTCTTCAATGCAAATAAATGTTTTCCTATTTATTCTGATGGTTTTCATCACATTCTTTCTAAGCTGTACTTGCAACATTATGTGTGTCGATACTTCCGAAAGTATTTCAACAGCGTTTGTTTTCTTGTAACCTATAATGTAATAACCTTGACAACACTTTCCGGATACCCTGAAACATAATATTTCGTGACGTCACTTTTCAGTCGTCATTATAATGGTGACGTAAGTACCGTAAATCGCGAAGCAGTTTACTTAACGTCCGCTTCCACTAGTGTCTTGGAAGATTCAGTCTACTGAGCGTGCATTCCTACAGAAGTTTTCATTGATAGAATATTGACACGGTCTATCAACAATTGATTTCGTTTGGGGTACGATTTATTGCGAAAGCCCGTGACAACCGCCGAACCGCATCTCCCTATATCAGAGAACAATTTTTTCGCATACATGCGTTTGCTGGGCCGCTACTTGAGCCAGATGAGCACAGCTACCAGCGGCGCGAGCAAGGCCACCAGGGGAACGTGATGGTGCTCGGGCCATCCCACCGTGAACGAATGTTTCGGCCACCCCACGGGTGCGTGTCGCCATCTATTAGCGGCGAGATGTTTCGGTGGCGCCCTCGTTCGGCTACCTTTCATGACGTCATTACCTTGTGAACAATAAGTTCGATGGTGTTTTCAATGGCATGGTGGAAGCCTGCAATCATAGCGCTCCAAAGCAACACTGCCAACACCGTCCAAATTGAAGTTCTTACATTCCCCTTATTTCCGCGATGAGACATTATTTGCTGACGTCATAGTCAGCATTCGGCCAATTCTAGTGGGCCGACCACAGCGACGATTTCGATCGCTCACGTCACCAATTTATTAAAGTAATGCCTTGTTCAAGATGGCTGCCGTGGGACCGCAGAATTAAAAGCATTGGCTAAATGTCTCTATTGGCGACGTGAGCGATCGAAAGCGTCGCTGTGGTCGGCCTACCACAATTGGACGGATGCTGGCTACGACGTCAGCAAAGGATGTCTTGTCGACGGAAATAAAAGGGATGTAAGAACTTCCATTTTGACGGTGTTCGCAAGGTTGCTTTAAGAGTGCTATGATTCCAGGCTTCCATCATGCCCATTAAAACACCATCGAAATTGCTGTTTGCAATGTAATGACGTCACGAAAGGTAACCGAACGAGGGCGCCACCGAAACATCTCGCCGCTAATTATCTCGTTCTTGACTTCGAAAATCCTCTCTGCGCGAGTCATTAGCCTTGACTAGGGCATTGGCTAGGGCTTCCAATGGAAGAGTGCTCGTGCTGCTGCGGCTTAATCTTTAGCAAGAGACTCACGCTCGCGTGCTCACGCTTGTGTGCTCACGCTATTCGACTGTTCTTAGATATTTTGAAGATTCCAATCCCGATATCGTCAGTTGGGTACGGATAGTTCAAGCAATTCAAGACGTGACCAATTTATTAGCGTTTCGCAGCAATATGAGAGCACCAGCGCTCCTGGTTTCAAGGGCGTCTCCTGGCTTCGAGCTGGTGCTCCTGCTCCTGGGAATTCTGCGACCTTGTGCCACCCAAGCGCTGTCTCCAGAAGAAGACCTATACAAGAGATTTTTCAGTTCGAGGTCAGTTCCGTCCACCGTTCTTTGAATAAACGCATTTAGCTTGTGGTTCCAGCCCCTCATATGCACCTTCGACTGAGGGCACATCAACTGCCAACGTAGAGCACCTTGCTTGTGCACGAACACATTATACAGCGCATGTGTCGCGCCACCGAGCCCGTTTCTCTCGGCAAGAACAAGAAACTGACATTTCAATGGTGCACGCTGTTTACAACGAGCAGCGGGCTGTTTACAATTAAATCAGTGTTTGCTCATCCCAGGTAGAACCCATGAGGACGAAGCCTCTGCACATGCACAGTAGCTACGTTCGATTTAACTGCACCTCCTGCACCGGTGCAGAAAAATATAGGGAAGCTTACTTCCAATATGTGTATTTAGATGCGGCCGGAAGTACACCACCCTACACGTCTCTTGGCCGGTGCAGGAGGTGCAAGGAAATCGAACGCGGCTACTGTGCATGGGCAGAGGCTTCACGCGTATCTGGTTCCACCTAATGTGAGCAAACACTGATTTTATTGTAAACTGCTCGCGCCTCTATGCCCTGTTGGCAAACAAGCCAGCGTTTGCCCATACAGGGTGTGGGCACTGTGTCGGAGCAGGAACCAGACTCTAGTCAAGTGAAGTAACTGCGCATGCGCCGTCCCAACAGAAATGCCACCGCAGCAGTGTGAAATCACAGCCGCGTGTTGGTGTATAAAGCTATTTTTTATTGTTATTCCGCTACCGTTTCAAAAGAAATACGTTTTTTATCTTCAACGTGACGTCTCACTTCATTTCAGTTATAACAAGGCAATCGCACCCAAGAGCCCGGACACAAATGGCAGCGAGGTTTACGTGCAGCTAGATCTCACTTTCGTCAGTGATGTCAATGCCCGGAGCCTTGACTTCGACATGCAAACATGGGTGGCCTTCCTCTGGAAAGATACAAGGCTCAACCTCGAAGCATTGCGGACCTACGATCCGCCCATCCCCGTTTTACCAGATCACTTGGCCAAAGGAATTTGGCAGCCCACCGTTAGCTTCGACCGCGCCGGAGACGCGGTGGCTTTTGATCCGGCTGACATCTTCATCAGGAGCGACGGCTACCTCCTGTCCCTCCGGCGAATCAATTTCCACGTTCACTGCTTCCACGAGGGTTCAGACACAGGATTAGACTCGCAGCCCGAATCGGGTTCGACGGTGTGCGACTTCCTTATCCGGCTCCTCTACGAAGCCGACTGCAACTGCGCCCTCATCTGGGTCGGTGACAAGGTCAGTCCGTTCTACGGTGTCCTGGAGAGTGTCGTCAGAAGGCCCGAAGCTCGTCCGTTGGTCAGCGTCCTTGTTGCAGTCGAGCCTTCCAGCTCTACAAAGTCGGGTGGCACCCCCGGTTCCAACGAGACAATCTTTGCGACATTTAAGTTCGTCAGAACATCGTGGTCTTTCCTCACGAGCGCCTACCTACCGTCTACACTTACTGTCGTGGTGTCCTGGATGTCGTTCTGGGTGGACGTGGGCGCTGCCAGCTCGAGACTCACGTTGGGCATTGCTTGCCTCCTGGCCATAACTGTCCAGACGGGACTTGGTCGTATTGCGAATCCGTTCGGTTCGCAAGTTCGCCCCGGAGATATGTACACGTTCATGAGCACGATGATGATTTTTCTGACGGTTGTGGAGTTTGCCATGGCTCACGGAGCGTACCGCAGTCAAGCTGAGGTGCAGAAACGTGGAAGTGAGGATGTCGTGAGTCAGCCTAGCTATCGCATTTGCAAGAGCCCCATGTCAAATGAGGTGTGTGTGGTATGTGACAAAGCTACTCAGACAGAGACGTCGTACCTGGCTTTTAAAACTACCGATCTCGATGAACTCTCCAGACTGCTATTCCCGATTGCTTTTTTTATATTTGCTTGTTTACATATGGTGTGGTACGCCGGAATTCCAGAGTGATATTTTTGATACTATGTGTCCAAAATGCACTTTAGAAATGGGTTTCAAACCTTGCATGCTTGAGCGTAAATGGACGTCCTATAGCGTAATATAGTTTAGAGAGAGCGCATGTCATTGTATATTGTTTGGTTTGTTGTATGTAAACTGTACACATCGCGACACTGTTAGCGCGAACACGACATCGGCGCATTTTCGCATTTTACTTCTGAATAATATTAGCAAGCAAGACATTTTATCGTTTACATTGTAGAACTAAATTAGCTCTTTCCGCAGCAATAATAACTTGAATGACATCCATTGGTTTCAAAGAGAAAAAGTGGAAAAACCGGCGATCGCATGTTCGCGCTTACAGTGTCGCGCTCTGTACATTTATTGAACGTGATAGTGAGCACCAGTATGATGTGACGTCTTTCATACAATTCTAGTTTCCAGTAGTAACATTTTCAGTGGTGTATATGTTATTATGTTATTTATGTGAAATTAAAACACTGATGTAAATTTGATTTTACATTGAGGTTTAATGTTCGCGAGCCCACACTGGGCAATGAAACTCTGCACCGAGACTTGAGAGGGATACATACAAGACGCAGTTAACATTCGTCGTATTAAGAAGAATAGCTGTTCTCAAACCACTTCATTGTATATATCAGTAAGAACAGTAAGAGTGTTGAAAAATTAAAGTGACGCAATAAAGTTTATGTTGAAAAAACAGCGCGACTAAGACGAGGACACAGAGACGAAGAGAACACAGGACAAAGCGCTGACTATCAACTGGTTTGTATTACACACTAAGGAAGAATGACAATGATATGAAAAACATGGAGTCAAATGTTCGCGCGCTTGCTTGGCGCCTCGTGAAATATGTCCCTTTCTTCTTTTTTCCCCGATCGTAGATTGGTTTTCTTCTTTCTTTCCTCGGGAGCTTTTGTCACCCTGAATCCAAAAACTTCATCTCGCTGGGAGTTAGAGTCACCGATGGTTGGCTCACACACGAACTGTTGTTCTTCGTGATGTGGTAGGCTTCTATCATTTCTCGACATGTTTGGTCGCGGTGTTGAAACAATATACTGGTGTTTTCGAAGCGTGGTTCGCAACCGCAATCTCTGCAATGTATCGCTAGATGCGAATTAGCGATGCCCTTCAAGGAGCTATGGTGCTCTCTTAGTCTGATGTTTAAGCACCGGCCAGTCTGCCCGATATACCAGTGCCCACAAGAGAAGGGAATGCGGTAAACCACGCCTTTTACACACGACACGAACTGCATCCCATGCTTTACCTTACATGTGTTATATACTGATCTTGCTTTACCCTCCTTGCGTGCACGTACAGCAGAACATAATCTACTTAGTTTGTTTTGAGCTGAAAAAACAACGTTCACTTCGTATCTGGACGCGACTTTTTTAAGTCCGTGTGAAATGCGGTGAAGATAAGGAATGACTGAAACTTTCTTTTTTTCTTTTTTAACTGGTTCTTCTAGCATGGAATTGGAACTATTCTTTACGATTTTTATTAAACTATCGCATGCTGATGAAATAATCGAGTCTGGGTATCCTGAATCCCTAATCCTTTGAATTTGGGAAGTGAAGCTAACGCCCATTGTGTGAACACATGATTTTGTTAAGGCGGATTTCAAACAGGAATATACTATCCCTCTTTTGACGAGTTTCGAATGTGCTGACTGGTAGTTTAGCAAACTCTTTGATGTTCTAGGATGATACAACCAACAAATGTGTTCTATTTCTATTTTAAATTCAACGAGGAGATCTAAAAATTGAATTCGACTCTCTTTTGGGGTCTCATAAGTGAACCTAAGGCCTTGGCCAAGCTCATGGAATACTTTAAGGACGTATTCTAGTGTTTTTTCACAATTGTTTTCACAATCACAATCAAATTTTTCACACACAATTTTTTTTCACACACACACAATCACAATCACAATCAAAAATTTTCACAATCAATTTCACACACACACAATCACAATCACAATCAAAAATTTTCACAATCACAATCAAATTACAATTGTGAAAATTGTAAATTTTCACAATTTCACAATTCAATCGTTGACCCTTTACGCATCCCCAACTCCAAGGTTGTTATCGAATTTCTAAGAGACAACAATCTAGAGGGGTGCACAGCATTCAGCATTGATGTAGAGGACTTATACTACTCTTTGCCTCAGGATGACCTCATGGTAAGCGTTCAAGAGTGCATTTTGGAGTATAACAGCGAAACTAAGTTTAGAACGCAATGCGGAATAACAGTTGAACATTTCCTTGAGCTATTATCCATGTATTTAAAATCTACTTTTATAGGGTGGGAGGAGAAAGTGTTCATTCAAAAGTCAGGTGTTTGTATAGGGTCGAGAGTAGCGCCTGTACTGAGCGATATTTTCCTCGGGAAGATAGGCAGAGCTCTAGTTCAAAAATTGAAAATCACACCATTAAGATCTTTAGGTATGTTGATGATTTTTTGGTATTTGTTGAAGACTCCAATTGTGAAAAAACACTAGAATATGTCCTTAAAGTATTCCATGAGCTTGGCCAAGGCCTTAGGTTCACTTATGAGACCCCAAAAGAGAGTCGAATTCAATTTTTAGATCTCCTCGTTGAATTTAAAATAGAACACATTTGTTGGTTGTATCATCCTAGAACATCAAAGAGTTTGCTAAACTACCAGTCAGCACATTCGAAACTCGTCAAAAGAGGGATAGTATATTCCTGTTTGAAATCCGCCTTAACAAAATCATGTGTTCACACAATGGGCGTTAGCTTCACTTCCCAAATTCAAAGGATTAGGGATTCAGGATACCCAGACTCGATTATTTCATCAGCATGCGATAGTTTAATAAAAATCGTAAAGAATAGTTCCAATTCCATGCTAGAAGAACCAGTTAAAAAAGAAAAAAAGAAAGTTTCAGTCATTCCTTATCTTCACCGCATTTCACACGGACTTAAAAAAGTCGCGTCCAGATACGAAGTGAACGTTGTTTTTTCAGCTCAAAACAAACTAAGTAGATTATGTTCTGCTGTACGTGCACGCAAGGAGGGTAAAGCAAGATCAGTATATAACACATGTAAGGTAAAGCATGGGATGCAGTTCGTGTCGTGTGTAAAAGGCGTGGTTTACCGCATTCCCTTCTCTTGTGGGCACTGGTATATCGGGCAGACTGGCCGGTGCTTAAACATCAGACTAAGAGAGCACCATAGCTCCTTGAAGGGCACCGCTAATTCGCATCTAGCGATACATTGCAGAGATTGCGGTTGCGAACCACGCTTCGAAAACACCAGTATATTGTTTCAACACCGCGACCAAACATGTCGAGAAATGATAGAAGCCTACCACATCACGAAGAACAACAGTTCGTGTGTGAGCCAACCATCGGTGACTCTAACTCCCAGCGAGATGAAGTTTTTGGATTCAGGGTGACAAAAGCTCCCGAGGAAAGAAAGAAGAAAACCAATCTACGATCGGGGAAAAAAGAAGAAAGGGACATATTTCACGAGGCGCCAAGCAAGCGCGCGAACATTTGACTCCATGTTTTTCATATCATTGTCATTCTTCCTTAGTGTGTAATACAAACCAGTTGATAGTCAGCGCTTTGTCCTGTGTTCTCTTCGTCTCTGTGTCCTCGTCTTAGTCGCGCTGTTTTTTCAACATGAACTCTCACCAACTCGCCCAGTTATCTCTCCTTAGCAATAAAGTTTCCTAAATTCAGAAATGAAATAGAATTCGAGGCGGATTAAAACCAAGTTACAGGCGCGGTGCAACAATGTTTATGCTTTCTGTAAATACCGCTTACAATTAATCTCTGATATTCAGAATTTATGAAAAGCTCGGCATATTTGTTCCCGCAATAGCATTCGTGAAAATAAAATCAATAAAAAAATTAGGATCTTTTACTGACCTTTCCGATAATCAGCCAGAACAAGCGGCGACGCGGTTGGGAGACGCTATATCTTATATGCATCCAAAGGTAACCACAGCCACACACCAAGGTTTACAAAACACAAGACACGCGATTAGTTTTAGACGTTATTAGCATTTGGATATTATTGTCAGTGTAGCGATTATGAACGAGCCACTTCTCGAACGCTTATCAAGCTCTTGATTATCATGACTGAAAATTGACTACTCATGCAATTCTCGAGTCCAATCTATTATCCGGTTTCAAATATCGGCCCTCGGCGGTACTATAGATTGTTTTTCTATGAGAGTTGCCATGTTGAAATATGACGTAGAGGAGTTGGACAACAAAAATGAACTAAATAATTAGGGTTTAACTACAATAAAACAAGTTTATCCAAGGAAGAAGTAGGAGTAATAGCACGAACCCCTTGATTTCTAGTGAGTTCCGATTGGCAAACGGAATGACTTGCTATTTTCTCAAACTCAGCTACGTAAAACTGAAACATGGTGGCCGTAACAAAAATGGACGGTCTATAGGAACGCTGCGACTGGTGAGCACTGTCATCAAGTTCTAGAATGGCACATGGAAAGAAAACGCTCGCTTTCACCTTCGACATTTCACCGCAGCAAATACGTTTCTTGGTCAGTGACTTTGGGTGTGACATACTCGGATAACGCTATACTGCGTTTCACCTTATGTTGTACCGCAGAGAAGACTAGAAGCGCGAGCTCGTAGCGTTAGCAGCTGCTCTTGACACGCGAGAGCTTGTGCCGCCGATATGTGCCCTAAAGCAAGGAGCTCGCGCTGGTAGCCCTTCCCGCTCATTCACACTGGAAGCGGATCCGCGTTCGCGAAGCGGTTGCGAACGCGGTTGTATAAAGATCCAGTACAATTTCACGCGCACTCGATGACATCAGGTGCGCGTGCAATTGCACTGGATCTTTATACAACCGCGTTCGCAACCGCTTTGCGAACGCGGATCCGCTTCCAGTGTGAATGACCGGTTCCCGCGGTACATCATAAAGTGAAACTGATTATAGTGGCAATTAAAGGGACACTGAACCTAGGGAAAGATTTATTACTTTTCTACCTC